AAAGTTAAAAAATTAAAATATTTAATAAAAAAAAAAAAGAAGAAAATGTTGATAAAAATAAAAAAATTTTAAGAAATTAAAAAGGTTAGAAAAAAACAAAACATATTTTTGGTTGCAGTCTGAATATTTTAAGTTTAAAATTTAAATTTTGGTGCACCTCTAGTATTTGGGAACACACAGATTTTTCTAAAATATGAAACCGAAAGAACCAACAGGTTTTTGTTTTTTTCTTGTATAACAACTCTAAGGCTTTATAGTCATTTCATACAGCAGACATCTAATTTAACGTGAACCTGTGCTTGCCCACGCAGAGCAATGCAATAGATTAACTTAACTAAAACCCGTGCTACTTATGCTTGCCCTTTGCTTCCCCATCACTCCATTTACACCTGGGAATAGAGAAGAAAGCCTGGGGCATACACAAGGATAAGGACACCCTCTCTCTCGCTGCCCCCAAGACCACCAGACCTACAATCTGGAGGAAGACTTATGCTTTTCTATACCTGAAAGCGTAGTTTATTTCTCTTTATTCTGGGTGGCCCAACGCAGTGGCAAGGGAACAAAAGGAAGGTAACAATGCAAAGGCAGAGAACATGGACACAGTCACCTTCTTGCCCATTCAAGGCAAAGTGACAAGGTCTGCGTAAAGCTGGTCCCTCAAGCACCTTATACTACTCTCTCCAGGGCTGCCCTGCTGCTCCTTCTGCCATCACAGCTGCCATTATAATACCGGGTGTCATTGTTTAGCAGGAGTAGTGATGTCACCCCTTCAGTCATGCTTGACTGCACCATGGAAGGTGGTCACATATTCCCCCCATCCCCAGAAGAATCGGATATTTTGCAGTGCCAACCACAGAAAAGGTTAATATGAAGTGGTTCTGGGTTGGTGGTTTATACAGACACTGTCACTGTGTCTTCAATGAGGTTAGTGTTCATAGTTTAAAATAGATTCATAAATAAAGAGGACACCTTACCTTCTGACTCATCCTCTATCTCCATGTCATCGTGCTTGTTACGTTGACCAGCTGTTTGTATCGGCTGTGATGCCTCATCACTAGACTGACTTGCAGAGTTGTGACAGTTAACTATATCAATACTTGAGAGGCATTGAGGCTCAGAGTCTTGGTCTGTGGTTACAAGAGAGTTAGATTTACTATTCCCATTTTGCAAAGCAGATGATGTGCTTTCTAAGCTTTCCAATGAAGAGTTTCCGTTTAAATAGTCTGTGGCAAGAGGTGGGTTGTTGGCAGTAATTGTTCTGTCTTGCAGTGCTGAGTTGCTATTGACCAACATGGATTCATTGGAGCTTTCTTCCTCTGTGGATTCCAAACTGCTGCCCTTACCAAGTATCCCGTTCCGGTCCTCCACGTCTCCATCGGTCACATCACAAGAGGACTCGTCATTTGTCACATATTGGTCTCCTGTCTCCTCTCCGTTTTCCTCCAGGCAAACACCGTTTTCTAAGGGGTCATCGTTGTCCGCATCTCGGGACTTAGACTCTTCCTCGTCTTTCTTTAAATAACAGTTCGGTTTCTTCTTCTTAATTATCCCACGGCCCCACTGCGAGCGGCGGCGTTGCTTCCGGCGAACCGGTACTGTTAAAATAAACGAGTAAAGTTAAAGCAGATTCCATATTTATAGTAAAACGTGTAAATCAAATACACCAACCTATCTTTATCTGCAGGGTTTCTGTGCACCGCTTAGTCTTTTTTTATTTCCAGTTAGCTGAATTACACCAAAAATTCATTATGGAGATGAAATGACAATTGGATGGTATGTTACCATGTCCAACATATATCTTTTGAGCCTGCCTTACCTGCCCATGCCACTTGTAAAGAAGCTATACTGGTTTTGGGTCCATTTATTTTCCTCTACACACTTACAGAAGCTGTCGCTGTTGCCAACAAATTGCCTTTCTAGCTGAAAGTCTGTACAAAGCCACACAGATCTGCACAAGGACTTGCATTTGTATATCCAGCCCTAGTTCTTACACAGTATGTTTGGATACAATGGTATTATCCCTCCTCTACCTATTGGCTGGAATAATGCCAGCCAAAGGATCCCCCCACTCCCTGTTTACATACACAAGCATGCGTTATGGGCAATTGATCATTCAAATCAGATGGCGAGGGTGGTAGGGTTGTTGTTTTAGTTTATTTTATCATTTTTTACTTAACACTTTTTCTCCATGTAACTCTTACTCTCACAAAGGGGCTAACAAAACCCTATAGGACAGCATTTGGAGGCGACAGGTTCTATTTATGGAGACATCAGGAGTATTTTAGTCTCCCCTGCCGCACAGGATTGTGCTTGATCAGAGCTGTCAAAGCCCAGCTGAAGTGCTGGGTAAACAGATGAAGCAGGAAGTGCGAGAGCACAGCACTCCCTGCTTCATCACAGAGCACATCGGGGAACGGACATTCCTCAGTCTGCTCTCCAAATTGACCCCTTGTGTTGTAGTCCCAAGACTAGAGCTGCAGCTAACGATTATTTTCAAAATCGATTAGTTAGCCGATTATTAAGTTCGATTAATCGGTTAAACAATAAAATACATTTAAAAAGACATCCAGAGGAGTGGGAGACCCCAAAAACAAAGGCTGGGGGTGTTGTTGGCCCGGAGGTGGTTGACCAGGCCCAGTACGGTTAGCCAGCATCCTACCCACCAATGACTGAAGCACAGGGTGGGCCTGCACTGAGTTATGGGTGGCAGTGTATGCGCCGTCAAGCAGCCATAACCTACTGCAAGTCGGCGATTGCTTTCTGGACAGAACCGCCACTTGGTCTGTGTTCCACCATTTAATGATGGCTGATCTAATCTATGCTTGCTTTATTACAAAAGTTGATCCATGCTTCTTTGTCACAGATCAGTGATGTATGGAATACTTCCCTCACCCTAAGAAACGCCGGGGGGTGCTTATCCAAGACACACCCAGAAGCAGAGCTTAAAAACCGCTTGTGCAACAAAAACAAGACTATTACGATGGTGAGAGGAGCACAGTGTAATGTAAAGGACTTGGCTTTCCAATATGTGTGGAGGAAAGGTTTGTCCAGGGCAATGGTGCATTACTTGTGGCTCCATTCACAAAAGCTATTAAAAAACAGAGTACAAAATTGGCAACTTTTTAAAATCTATTCCAGGAATGCAAATTCACTCCCATTGCTGAGCTTTTCATATCCATTATGTAGGAGGACCACTGAGCCCTATGTACCCAATTTAGGCACTTATTAAACTAACTGTAAAAACCTTTGGGTAAAAGCTCACATTATCTATCTAATTACCATTGACTGAAAATAGGAAATGCAGCATGTTCGTCCCAAGCATGTTTACATCCACTTACCATTGACTGACTTACATCTCTGCTGGAAGTCTATTCCAAGCAACAAATTCTCACTGGTAAAAACAGGATTTTTGTACTCACTATAAAATCATTTTGTTAGAGTCCACTGAGGGACATGGGAATCCTTAAAATTTCGGGTTCTACTATTGCCGACAACAATAGTAAAGGAAATAGCTGTCCTAATTGCTAGCATAGTAGGAAATCCCAAATCAAAACATGACAAAAAAAAACAAGCTGTGAAGGCCAGCAAATGTGCAGTAGGTTGGCAAGATGATCCTTGGGACAGAAGATCCTGATGATTTGACAGGATGACATACCACATCTGCCTGGTCTAATCTGGAGCAATCTTGATCTAAGCAAATGATGTGGAAGAAGCTTCAGATTGGAAAGGCAACAATTAGGGTGCACCAGTACTACGGAGCCACAAGAGCATGCACTGCTTTCGCTAGAGGATCCCTGTTCCCAGACACAAACCTGTCAAGTTTGTTAAGCCTTGAGGCCCACATTAGGCATTTCCCACCTGTGGCACAGGACCTGGCCACCTCTTCGTGTACAGACTGCTTTCCTGAGTCAAGCTGCTGCTGGCTGAGAAGTCCGCCTGCCAATTATCTACACCGGGACTCCTACCCTGCCCAACAGGCTGGTATCCATTGTGATGATCTTTCAGAAGATGGGAATGAAGGAATTCCCAGATTCCAGAGCCAGCTTCCTAAGCCACCAGGTCAGGAACAACTTGATCCTTGTTGCTAAAGGACTGATCTTTCCAGGGACCTTGTGTCCCATGACAAAAGAACATGGCCTTGTAGAGGAGACAGGGAAACAAACAAGTCTGCAACTCTGGTATACCACCTCCTGGCCAACACAGCTGAAAAGAAAAATGACTTAAAATGCTGAAAATGGAATCCGCTGAGCACTTGGAAACGACAGGAGAAGGCCCACCAGAAGAAGCATATGATTCAGGGCAGGTGGTGTTTGCTTTGGTACACCTATACAAAAGAATCCGCAGTAGCTTTGCTTTCATTTTACATTGTACTTGGAGTCTAGATTTATAGGCTTTTCCGTCACACTCACTGTGGTCTGCATTAGTATGGATCCTTTGCTCTCTAAACCTGAAAAATAGTTGCCCAACAATAATGTGCCTAACAAACAAGCTGCAAGAGAAATCAAACCTTTTGCCAGCTGGGTTTGAACCAAGACTGTTGTAAGAATTTTATGAGAGCCTAGCAATCATATTCACTAACCCAAACAGACAATTCTAAACCTCCTTCATAGCAGGATTAGATTCGGGGACAATACGAGAGTAGAGCACCTTTATTGCTTTCTCATAGGTGAACCTCCAGCAGCTCGTATCCCACTGATGAAAAAGACTGCATTGTTCCAGAGCTGTGAAGAGAGAACTCCGGGGTCAGCACCACTTCCGGGGGATAATTTAGCACCATATAGCGCAAGCAATTCAAGGTGTTAATAAGCACCCCTGCATATGCACACACTCCTGCGTGTTCTTATGTGCTTCCATCTAAATAGAGCTGCTAGATATTCATAGCTATGGAGCAGGAGTCAAGAAACAAACCATAACAAATGCCCCTTCTAAACCTGAACAGAGATCAAAAGGAAGGTTTCGCCATGTGGCCCACCTGTACAGTAAAGCAAGCATAGAAACAAAAGGTGCAATTTTACTCCAGAGAATGGCCATTTCTGCAGCAAATATCCACAGTACCAAAGGAAAAGATAACCCAGCATAAGACTGCTATGTACTCCCAACAGTGAACTGCAGAGACGGGCACATGAAAACTGCCTCAGCTTTGGACAATTAGCTCCATAAAAATTCCCGAAGCAGTGCTTTGCAAACTGGAACACAGACAGGTAGTTCCTGCTGTCTACAGGATTGTCCCAGAGAGAAAACCAGTACAGATAATGAACTGGGAACCTGCGCTAGTGGCTAACTGGAGAGTTGTACAAGATTTTCACATTCAGCCTGAATGTAGCTATAGATGACTGGAGATGATACTTCATCCTCGATTATCCCAGTGTCCCCACCGCAAAAATGAGTAGGGGGAGGGCATCTATTAGCACGCCTTTCCTCTGTACATAGGATCCTTATTTGTCCCTGACGCATGGTGTTAGATTGGCCACCCTAGGTCCCCGAGACAAAATCCTTGAAGACGCAAGCCAGTAAAATACTTTTGGACTGATTACACACTGAGAAAGATAAAGATGAATCACGGACAATATACATGATCTCCTATCATTGTATTGTATGTACTCTGGCTGCCAAAGGACGGAAGGGAGCTGGTATTTGATGTGGTTTTAATTCTTATGTCTATAACTATCTTTCGAACTTTGAATAAATGTATTTTATGAACTTATGCAATGGTGTGTGCCTCTTAAAACCCCTAGTTCCATATTTTGCGTTAATGATTGACACAAGAGGGGGTGAGGCACCTTTCAGATTGCACAAGTCAGGGATATATGCTGTGAATTATTTATAAATGCCACCTCCCCTCTTTCCTGTATATTGTGTACCCGAGTATAGTTATTTCACAGTCATTTGAATCCCTGAACCATGTCTATGTAATCACAGCAAAGTCCAAGTTATCCCCAGACATAAGAGATGTCAGGTCCCAAAGCTTGTTATCTAAATTACGCACAATAGTGCACATGTGACCAACACTGCTATTTACTGTTAGATATTTCATACCAGACTAACTACAAACCAACCCACCAGCCATTTCCTTAGGAACACAAACATTTTTGTTTTTACCTGCTGGGGACAGGAACGTTACCCATCAATGTCTACCCCCATTTCTCACGTTAAATGCATGTCCAAAAACTCCTGAATTCCATCCTTAAGCTGGCCATACACTCAGATGTCCCTAAGGAATTTGCCGCCTGAGGCAATTCATTTTGGTGTCCAGCCCACCAGCGTCACTGATTGCCAGGGGCTCGGCGAGACGCAAGCTAGAGCTCTGGCTCGCGTACCGCTCAGCTCTTGTAAATGCGGTGAGTGAGCTGGGCGAAATGCCGCACAAAGTGTCACAGGTTGCCAAGAGCTCTTGGTGACGTGGAGACACTGTAATTCCAGCGCCACCCCCCCCCCCCCCCCCCACAACAAGGGATTTTTCGGTAAGGAGTACAACAAGCAAAAGTATT